CCCCAAAACCCCAAAACCCCAAAACCCCGTAAGGGTTAAGTAAAATTAAATAAGTTTTGATTGTTACAAAATAAAATGAACAAAAATATCATCACCAGTCCATTCGTAAGTTATTATAATCCACCAGTTTATACAATTAAACTAAATAGATAAAGGATTTTGAGTCGAGGGATAAGCACGCATAAAATAATCTTGTAAGGCAGTTGAATATGATAAACTAGCAATCAGTTGCGAAAAGTAACATTGTCTTGAATGGATCTGTGACAAAAAAAAGCATTAACTCTAATGTCTATAAGGCGTTCAAACCATTAAAAATAGGAGGACATCAATCCACTACTCACACTAATAACTAGTCCCCCAAAAAGTAATTTTGATAGTTAAATAGTTAAAGATAGCATGGGAATGCTTATGGCTAAATGCTGAACAATTCATTAGATTAAGCGCTGACTCCTAAACTTATGAATTTTAAATCTTAAATTGAAAAAGAAAACAATGGTCAATCTGCCATGAGCACACTTGATTTGCCATTTATTAATCAGCCAAAGCTAAGACTCAATGTGAAGCATACTAATTCTGACAAGCAATCAATCCCCTTTGAAGACTAGTAAGATTTGCTAATTTTGATAACAATTGATATAGCTATAAATTTGGATAGTACTAATCTTAGAGAGCATAAACCGAGGATTTAAGAATTGTAAAGAGCAGCATTGGCACAGGAGGTGCTTACTAATCAACAAACGCCACTGATGATATAAGTATTTAACAGTAAAACATTGACAAAATGATCTCTCATATCAAGAGCAAGAGTTCTTCTCAGTTTAAGATTATGTCATCTTATGATGACTATGACGGTTGATACTCAGCAAGTAATAACAATAATCAAAAATACAGTAATAGCTTTCACAATCATTCTAATTCAGTCAAGACTCAGAGCATTGCCTCATATCAAAACAATCAATCTCAGCAACAGCAATGAATGAGCGAATCGTGAGCTTCAACTTTAAACTACAATAATAATTATAATAGTAATGTACCTAAGCAGGGCGAAATGAGTTTTGATTAATTAAAGAGAGAAGCCAAGAATCTTTATTCTGCACTTTTTACAAAAGATAGAACAACGATAGATTAGTAAAAAGTAAAAAAGATCAAGCCTAATAGTTCTATTTATGATACCAAAAAGGGTTTCAAAATAAAATAAAAGAATTCAGAATCAGATCATGCTTCAACTGTAAATATAAATGAAACGGATGAAAGGGATAGATATTATGAGAAAAGTGTGAGAAAACATGTTTATAATCCCCCTGAAGAGTCTATTAATGAAGGAGGGTCATCATTCATAGACCAAATTAGAAAAAAATTTAACGAGTAAAAGTACATGAAGAGGGAAGATGTGCTCAAATTACTAAGAGATCTGTAACAATAGGAATCAGAAAAATTAAAGTAAAAAGTGTTCGACTAGTCCGATGTTTTTAAAGGCTTCTCCCTAGCTTAAGATAGCAGGCTGTTTAATTCAACTCAGCCAACGTTTGTAAACAGTACTAATAATGCAACAACATTCAAAAAGGATAAGTCATTAATAATAAAGAAGAATAATCAAGGAACTTCGTAATTAGTGCAGGATGATCTTTCGCATATGTTCTCAATAAGCAAGATGGGCAAGTACGATACCTCGATAAGTAGTATGCTTTAATCCTCTAAGCATGTCTAACTAGATCAGCCAGTGCTGAGCAACAATCACGCATCTTCTCGAAATGGACTTCTTCATGATTCAAGAACCAACAAAAGTCAATACTCTCCAATCAAAATTGTCTCACAAATTGGGCGATCATCTTTTGATGACAATGAATAAAAGCTATTAAAGAAGTATTCAAAGGACAGACTAATTAATGATGATATTACCAAGGAGCCATTTAATGAAAATAATGAATTCACTGATATGATGAAGATAGGATTTAGATCATTGAAGAAGTTTGAGAACAAAACAAAACTGAGAAAAGGTGCTCCCTCTAAAAGATCGAAGTCATAGCTCTAAAGTTTCCCTAAAGCCTTTAATGGAAATATTATCTTGACAGCTGTACTCAGTTCAACATTTTAGACATAGGATTAGTTGAATTTCCAAGATATTGTTAGAGGTGGAAAATTCTAGTCTGATGGGACTTTTAGCAGAGTTTAGCAGGAGCTTTATGATATATATCTAAAAGAAAGACTTGCGAAGTAGAATAGTGGCATCTAAACAGCGCAGTCTCATCATAATTCTAGTCAGCATAGAGGCTCATCAATATAGCCTGAAAATAAAAAAATAAGTTTAAGCTCAACATCATCAAAACCAATAACAGCTACATAGATTATAAGACCTAATAAAAAGTATAATAGTCTGCTTTAGAAAATATAATATGAGGAATTCAATTAAGAAAATAGGAAACAAGTATAGTTTCTTGATGGATGTGTTTAAAACAATCATATGAATATGCCCTAAACTAAAATCAATATCCTGCTGTAGCCTGTCACTCATCTTGAAACATCTGTAATCAATAAAGTTATTGCAAAATCTAATCAATTTGTCCTTGCAATATTTAAGCAGAAAATAAAACTTCCAGATGTACAGCTCTCTAATCTCTTCAGATACTTCAATATTTAAATACCAAAGGTAAATGGATAAATAGATCCCTCATAGTTTAAGTAAAGGGAATTCTTGAATTAAGCAAATGAAAAGTTACTTTAAAAATTCTACAAAGTAATGAATATAGAAAATAATAACATTGAGCCATTAATTGGTAAGAGCAATATGCCTTTTTACGTAGGGAAAGGAAACAACTTCTATCTTGTAAGATAATTGATAAAAAGAAGAGTTTGGTGGACTAGAGCATAAAAGGAAGATTATAGCTAGTACTAAGGAAATGATGAATAAAACTATCAGGGATGTCATTTCATTTGGACCTAATGGAAGAAACCCAAGCATATTGAATATCTTAAATAGCATGGAGAAGAAGGCATAAGATTATATAATAGATTAGATGACAATTATCATCTAAGTAACAAGAAAGCGCTTTTTAGAAATATAGTCAATTATTACTAATCTTAAGGTTTAGATGCTTTTCAACTTGCCATACCTCTTACTTTTCACATTAGAAGTCTAAATACCAGTGAAGATAAGGATTACAGTAGATTTTTAGATGAGTATTAAAGACAAAAATCAAATAATCAGCTAAATATTTGGATCATTAAGCCAGGTGAAAATACTAATAGAGGTTGCGGTATTTAAGTCTCAGATTCATTGTCAGAAATACAATCAATGATGAGTGAATTAAAATCAAGATCCTAGAGAACTTTTATAGTTTAAAAGTATATTGAAAAGCCTTTGCTAATTAATGGGAGGAAATTTGATATCAGATGCTACGGTGTTATGACATCTATAAATGGTGTGTAGAAGGGATATTTTTACAGAGACTGCTATTTCAGAACTAGTTCTAAAGAGTATTCAATACAAAACTTATCAAACAGACTCATTCACTTAACTAATGATGCTGTTTAAAAATACTCAGAAGACTATGGCAAGTATGAAAATGGCAATAAATTATCTATAAATGATTTTTAAAGATACCTAGATATCAACTATCCATAGTTAAGTATAAATTTCATGAGAGATATTTTCAGTCAAATTGAGAGACTTATAACTGATACATACCGAGCAGTATACAATAAAATTGATCCAGAAAGAGTCAAAAATTGTTTTGAGCTATTTGGATATGACTTTATGATAGATGAAAACTTTAGAGTTTACCTAATAGAAGCAAACACAAATCCTTGTCTAGAAATATCCTGTCCATTACTGGCACGAATAATTCCTGAAGTTGTTGACAATACTCTTAGAATTGCTTTAGACCCATTATTTTAGCCAGGTCAATTTGATTAAGAGTATCAAAATCTGAGAGAATCAAATGTTAAGGACAACAAGCCAAATAAAAAAAGGAGTAGGAGAATGGATTTAATGCCTTAAATTAAGTTTAACCTAGTCTTTGATGAAAGAGTTGATGGTAAAAATCTTGCAAATACATAAAATACAAGATCACCATTCAGCAAGAATTAGGATGAAAAAGGGGAATTTGATATTGCTAAGTTCGAGGATGATGCAATCCAAGAAGAAATGAGTAATGAGGAAGAAGACTATGATGACGACGAAGACTCAGAATATCTTGATGATTTATAGAACGAATATATGTGACTGTAATTTTACATTATTATTATTTACAAATCTAAAATGTTAATCCTAAACCCTTTTTTGGGGTTTTGGGGTTTTGGGGTTTTGGGGTTTTGGGG